CGCAAGAAAAAGCTGACAATCGACTTGAGAATGGTCCAGGACGGACCGAAACGTCGTCGTCCCTACACTTTTTAGTGTGTGGTTTGGTCGACACTGACAGCGATATATTGGTCGTAAACTCGCTTGCTGTTCATGGAGTCGTAACGTGGCCAGAGAGTGTTGTGTCCGAAGTGGCAGGTAGCTCGCTCAAGGATTACTATACATGCGGCCCAGTTTCCCTTGTACTTGTCACTATACGTATAGTGAGTTTCCCTTGTACTTGTCAGTATACGTATAGTTAGTTTACTTTGTAATCGGTATTATTCACGCAATAGTTTTATCTTATAATAATCTCGTCATACGTATGACTTAGTATTCTTAGTAATCTTACATATTATACGTACAGTGAGTTTACCTCGTCATCTTCATTATACGTACAGTGAGTTTACCCAGTCATCTTCATTATACGTACAGTGAGTTTACCTCGTCATCTTCATTATACGTACAGTGAGTTTACTTCGTCATCTTCATTATACGTACAGTGAGTTTACTTCGTCATCTTCATTATACGTACAGTGACTTTACCCTGTCATCTTCATTATACGTACAGTGAGTTTACCCAGTCATCTTCATTATACGTGCAGTGAGTTTACTCCCGTCATCTTCATTATACGTACAGTGAGTTTACTTCGTCATTATATGTACAGTGAGTTTACCCTCGTCATCATCGTACGCACAGTGAGTTTACCCCAGTTATCTTCATCATACGTGCAGTGAATTTACCCCCGTCAGCTTCATCACACGTACAGTGAGTTTACCCACGTCATCTTCATCATACGTACAGTGAGTTTACCCCCTCATCTTCATCATACGTTCAGCGAGTTTACCCCGTCATCTTCATCATACGTACAGTGAATTTACCCCGTCAGCTTCATCATACGTACAGTGAGTTTACCCCGTCATCTTCATCATACGTACAGTGAGTTTACCCCGTCATCTTCATCATACGTACAGTGAGTTTATCCCCGTCAGCTTCACCATACGTACAGTGAGTTTACCCCCGTCATCTTCATCATACGTACAGTGAGTTTACCCCGTCATCTTCATCATACGTACAGTGAGTTTACCCCCGTCAGCTTCATACGTACAGTGAGTTTACCCCCGTCAGCTTAACCATACGTACAGTGAGTTTACCCCCGTCATCTTCATCATACGTACAGTGAGTTTACCCCCGTCATCTTCATCATACGTACAGTGAGTTTACCCCCGTCAGCTTCATACGTACAGTGAGTTTACCCCCGTCAGCTTAACCATACGTACAGTGAGTTTACCCCCGTCATCTTCATCATACGTACAGTGAGTTTACCCCCGTCATCTTCATCATACGTACAGTGAGTTTACCACCGTCAGCTTCATCATACGTACAGTGAGTTTACCTCCGTTATCAATTATTCGCGCAGTGAACTTTGCCATATTTTTATATTGTTTTCTTCATCCGTTTTCTTTTCTTACTTGAGGCTGCCAACCGTCTTCAGGGTAAGGTCATTTCGTACATAAGACAATTCGACAAAACTCGTTTTCTGTGTGTTAAACCCATATAGGGTAGAATGTATTAGATTAGGTTGGGCTCGATTGGGTTAGGTTGATTTCGGTTAAGTTAGGTTGAGTTGAGTTGGGTTAGGGTTAGGTAGGTTTCAAAATCCATTGAGGAATCGTCTTGTGTACGATGTGACTTGCATCCGTGCATTCCATCCAGCGGCCAGAATGAACAGATGTAGCAATTGAATGTCATTATTTACCTTTTTTGTGTGCATCTTTGATTTATCTTTATCTTTAGAACTGTCTCTGTCCGAGGCTGGAAGCCAGATGCTCGGGGCTAGCCTCACGTAACGTGGGTGAATCGGGGATGAGCCCATTTGCTCCGGATACAGCCGGGCACGGTCCCCCATGACGATTCTGGCCGTGGCTACTGGTCGCCAACAACTCATCCCGCTGAAAAAAAAAATATAATTCAAAATTATTTTTTCTTACCAAATCATAAAACATTGCCCACTGATCTCGGCAAAATTGTTAGCAAAGTTCTATTTGTCATGCTTTACTTTGAGCAAAGCAAAGACATTTTTATTCGTTTGCCTTGTTCGGGGTAGAAGGTAGACACAGTAGTCGCTTCTGTATATATTTATTGACTGAGATAGCAAGGTATATATCTGCCTAGCCGAGGTCCTTCTACTCTGAGTCTGTGAGGATAACTGAGGCTGCTGGGATGAGCATGATGAGCATGATGAGCATGATGAGGCTGCTGGGATGAGCATGGCCTTGATGCTCCTCTGTCTGGCATGACGTCAGAGGCCTACTCGCCTGTGATTGGTTACATTTCAACTGACAGAATTTGAGTATAACATTTTGATGATGTCACTGCGAGGGGTCATGCGGAGGTGTATTTTTTTGTTTTTGTTTTTATATATATAAAAGAGTTCTTACATTCTTGTACAGCCACTAGCACACACAGGGGGCCTCGTAGCCTGATGGATAGCGCGCAGGACTCGTAATTCTGTGGCGCGGGTTCGATTCCCGCACGAGGCAGAAACAAATGGGCAAAGTTTCTTTCACCCTAAGTGCCCCTGTTACCTAGCAGTAAATAGGTACCTGGGAGTTAGTCAGCTGTCACGGGCTGCTTTCTGGTGTGTGTGTGTGTGTGTGTGTGGTGTGGGGAAAAAAATAGTTAGTAAACAGTTGATTGACAGTTGAGAGGCGGGCCGAAAGAGCAAAGCTCAACCCCCGCAAAAATACACAACTAGTAAACACACACATGGCATTTCGGGCAAGTCGTTAATCCTAATTTTCCCCGGAATACGACCCGCCAAATCGTTTAACAACCAGGTACCCATTTTACTGTTGGGTGAACAGAGGCTACAGTTAAGGATTGGCGCCCAGTCAATCCTCCCAGGATACGAACCCAAGCCAAAGCGCTCGCGAAACGCCAGGCGAGTGTGTTACCACTTCGCCACGGGGGCTGTACAGGGTAACAACCCCCCACCCCCCACCCCCACCCCCCACCCCCACCTCCCACCAGTTCTTCTATACATCTTTCATATCTTTAGCAGGATGGCGTCACTCCGGCGCTTAGGAAATGAGGTTGAAGAACATTTACAGTGACCTCATTTTCCGTTTCTTTGGTTCGCTGTGTTGTCTGTGGCGCGGTTTTGTTGGCTTATATATAATTGCTGGTAGAAGCAATTATATTTACTATGGCTTAGCTGGTGAAAGATTCAGCAAGCAGCAGCAGCAATATTAACAGCACGCAGCAGCATCAGTATCATCAGCATCAGCAGCAGAAGCAGCAGCAGCAGCAACATCATCATCATCAGCAGCAGCAGCAACAGCGTCAGCAGCAGCAGCACAAGTATTCCTAATACGTGCTCGTCCTCAGATGTGGTAACCAGGAACAACAATGTATATGTTCAGATTTGTGTATTCATGAAGTCTGTTGAACCTTTTATCAACTTTCATGAATGCTAACAGACATGAATAATAAAACTGAAACACACACACACCTTTAGGGCCTCGACGCGGCTGAGTGGACTTGGGAGTCGTAGCCCTAATGGCCCCCGATTCGATTCCCGGCGGAGGCGGAAACAAATGGACAGAGTTTCTTTCACTCTGATGCCCCCCTGTTTACCTAGCAGTAAATATGGACCAGGGAGTTAGATAGCTGGTACGGGCTGCTTCTTGGGGATATGTAACAAAAAGGAAGCCTGGTCGAGGCCCCCGAAATCATCTCAAGATATCCACAAGAAGGAACCCAAACGTATGGGAAGAACTGAAAAAACACAACGTTGCTCTCCGCCGTAATCCGGCATCAGCATCAGCAAGACTTTCTGATGCAAGACTTTACCAAGTAACAAGACTTGGTAAACCAAGTCTTGTTACCACTTGATAACTTTATTGTATTTTCATAAGTGTAGGTTTATGTTACTTCCAAGTGTCTTTGACTCGCCTTCCTCTCATTTGCTTGGAATCTACAAAATCCATTTTTTTTCCTTACTGTCTGCTTTCGCTGCTGCTTCGTTGCAGCAATGACTAAATGCAACTCTTCTCCCAGCCTGTGCAACACCACACGCCACCGTCACCAAGCATTTCATGGATTCATCCCACGTATCATTGATATTCGTTTATAAAGTCAACCGCTCCAAGCTTACTAATTGCTCTCCCGTAGTTATTATCAAACTCTAGCACTTTCTCAACTTGGATTATCTCGACTGGATCTCTGTGAGGTGCCATCATCCCTCTACCACTAGATGTGATCTTAATTACATCTGTTGTCAGCCGTTCCTCAAGCTATTCATCTTGCTGTTGTTGTTTTAGATTCAGCTACTCGGAACAAAAAAGTTCCAATTAGCACGGGCTATGGTGAGCCCGTAGTGGACTTACCTGGCACAGGAGCGGGACTGTGTCCTCTTGCTGTTCTAGCATTACGTATATGATTTAGATATTAGATCTCTTGCTACTGTTGCATCATATATTTCAACATATTTCTCGTTACAATGTCATTGTCACCGGGACTTTTCCCCGTGGTCATTATTCACACTGTATCATCATAAATGAATAAATTATATTTACATGTGTGTTAATGATAAATTATTTAGATTATTTGTATATTTCGCATAACAACCAGTGTCATTTATTCTTTTAACATCATGGCGTCATCGTGTTAAACCTGGAACATCGTGTCCTCACCATGTCATTCCTGGAATAACATGTTTCCACCTTTCCATTCCTGGAACATCATATAAACATTCCTTGACCAGTATCACGAGCCGGGAGGATCGAGTGTGGCGTTACATATACGCATGTCTTCATTTCACGTTATCTACCATTTTCTAGTACGACAATTTTTGGCCTTAGGTAGAGTAGACGTCAAAATGCGACGTTCTATTAGGATGACGGGTCGTAATCTCTGTTCCAGGTCGGGTATGGATGGTATCGGTTTTGTAATTGTCATTCGTTTCCTTCCCCCTCAGACATGAAAGTCGAAAAGAAGATGAGTTGTGACGAGAGCCAGCAGACGAAGGACCTGCCAGAAGGTGAGGTGAAAGACCTGCAGCAGCAGGAGACATCAGCCACCACCACTACCAGCAGCAGTGGCATCAGCGTCGCCGTCGGTACGGATGACTTCCATTCTGATGAAGGATCCATCTCCGATTCCGATTCACAAGGTAATTTTCAGTTGTGGACTGTATGTAAAAGATTCCCCCCTCTGTTTGTATGCTTTTCTAGTAATATTCTCGGCATGTGTGATAGCTATGATGATACTCCATTTATCCTTTCTGAAGAAAAAATTAATATGCGTGGCGCCGAAATTGTAACCATGCACCTTGATGGTGTTCTTCGACCTTGTGTATTGTAATCTATACTTAATCTTGCCATAACTCAGTGTTTCTTTACACTGTCGAGTGTTTGCTCGTGTGTGCTGCTGTGTGTCGGTGCAGTGTTTTTGTGTGCTGCTATTTGTGTTTTTGCTATTGTGTGTCCAACGTGAATATGTGTCGATTTATTCCTTGTGTAATGTCGATTTACTGTAAACCACGGTGTGCAGACTGACAATCAAATATTTCTATACGCAACCAGTTCATCTATCAGTAGCTCGACCACCTTCCATCTCATAATCTCGACCTTCAAGCACTGATAATTTATTCATGGCAGTAGCTACTATAATCTTGCATAGGCCAACAGTATAATCTAATTTACGCTTACGTATTGCTTGCAGCAGCCCCAGGGCAGCCGTCCAACTCCCGCGCGAGCTCCGACGCTGAGCAGGGCGCCAGCAGAAGCTCCAGGACCTGCAGGGTGTGCGGCGATAAGGCCAAGAGCATGCACTTCGGAGGTCAGTACACAGCCGTCTTGGCTGCCTGCCACACTTCGATGTTAGCTTTATAGTGTCCCTTAAGTTTTCACCATTGGGCACTTCAGCCCCGATCTTAGTCCCGTGGAGTCGTTAGCTGTGGGGCCAGGCAGAGCCTTGTTTGTTATTTTATCCTCTTAATTTCACACTGTGGTGTCCACAATCCCACCTCAATACCCTCTCATCCTCTCAGGTCTGTCGTGCGACTCGTGCAAGGCGTTCTTCCGGCGAGCTGTCCATCACGACGCGTTCGTCAACTTTTCCTGTCCGTACGATGGAAACTGTGTCATCAACATTGCCTCCAGGAAATGTTGCCAATACTGCAGGTATGTCTGCTCATATTTAGCTGGTTTTACACCGCATCTGTGAAATTACACGCTAAACAGATTGCAATTTATTTTGCATTAAAAAATGGTTAATAATAACCAGTCATAAAGCCCTCCGTGATACTATATTTGGCTACTGATTTATGACATGCGGCGGATGTTTTAAAATGGTTCCATTTTCTTTAATCATAAAGTAAGGAAACTGTCAAAGTACTCCTTCTAGTGCACTAAACAGAGCGAACACGCTTGTCTCCTGCACCTTCAGGTACAAGAAATGCACGTCTATCGGGATGGAGCGATCATGGGTGATGTCGGAAGAAGACCGCGCTCAAATGATGAAGCACAGGGCGGAGAAGAAGGCCAAGATGGCGGACGACACAGGCAGGTCGAGAAGCCTCAAGGACGGCAAGAGGGAGCTCTTGCCATTCGAGCCAGACCAGGACACCATGCTCGAGCACATGACAGCAACGGTTAGTGAACCAAACACTCCAAAACATAGTCTGATGGAGCGCTGTGAGGGGCTCTACGACAGTACTGTCTCAAAATGTAATGTGTCATGGATTAGGTAGTTTTGCCGCATCTCCGAGAATGCGCAGATATGCCACATTTCTTGAATGTATTTTGAATGCCATGTCAATCAGGCTCTAATGATTTGGCCCCTTGCAGGAGCGGGATGAGGTGGAGCGGGCGGTGCTGAACTACAGACAGGCGTACACCGAAGTTCCCTACCGCCCCAACCTGAAGGAGTGCAACATAGAGCGTCCCAGCGTTCAGATCATCAACATGTTTACCACCATCGTCAGACGCTTCGCTTATTTTGCTAGGCTCTTCCCCGAGTTCTGCGACCTTCCTCCCCAGGTACAGTAGCTTGTCTCCCCCCCAGGATACAGTAGATTGTCTCCTTAGATACTGTAGCTTGTCTCCCCAGATGCAGTAATTTGCTTTATCTCTCACCTGTAACGTCTCTTCACACTGCAGGACCAGGAGAACTTGCTTCGCAGCGGCATCTTGGAGATGTCACTGATCCGAGGCGTCCAGAGCTTTGACACGGAGAACAACCGCTGGCCCAACACCAGCCACCAGCTCTACAAGGACGCCCCAACGCTCAGAGTCGAGGACATGAAGAAGCTCGTCTCGTGCGAGCTCTACGAGATGCACATGAAGTTTATCCACAGGTACTGCAGTACCACAGTACTCTGGTACTGTGGATAGGTACTATGATATATTATATGTATCCATCACTGGATAGTGAGATGGACAACTACACCCAATATTGACCTTTTCACACTCATAATATTTCCCCCCCCCCCATGTCCTTCGTCATATAATGAGGCACTAGAAATTATAAATATATTGGCCCGATTGAATATATGAGATTCATTCATGGTTTTTCATATACAGGAAACCTACCCTTTATTGCCAATAAAATCTTCCCTGTATTGACTTGTTCATCTCAGTCACACACCTCATTGGTGCCAAAATTTCTAAGATGACCATAAATTATGTTTCGCACCACTTTAACAAGTCAGATATCTTCAGGCACTCACTTAATCATTCATATTAATTTAATACTGCTGCACTTTTGACTTTCTCCAGTCGTATTGACATTTTAAATAATATTTTAGAACGTAGCTTTTAGTTGAAATCTGAATAATGTTATCCAACCTTAGTGCTTTCTTTTATTTTGGTAATTATTTGTATACTTGCTCTCCTTCGCCTGGTCCTTCAGCATCACTCAGTCTACTTGTCTCCTACAGCCTGAAAGACTTGAACGTGGACGAGCCTGTGATGATGCTTCTACTGCTGATTGTACTCTTTACCAGCGACCGCCCCGGGCTGGTTGCTGCCCCTACCATCCAGACCCGCCAGGACCACTACCTCCAGCTCCTCAGGTCAGCCCTCTAAACCTCCCCATCGTTGTGTCTACCAGATCACTCTATCTAATCTGCCATTAGAAACATGTAACTCTGACTTAAATACAAAATAGTATCAGCAAAATCACTATTTCAAAATCGTTTTCCCAGTAATGACTTAATTCTGGAGAAAAAGATTGGCGAGATATTAATGGATTGGTGTTTGTGGTCAGGCAGTACCTCGGGTGGCGCTACGGGCCCCACAACGCCCCCATCCTCTACCCGCGCCTCCTCGTCAAGCTCACCGACCTCCGCGAACTCAACGACCAACACACCGAGTACAACCTTAAACTGGCCAAGAAGGAGGTGAGTCGCTGCTAGACATAGAAGTAAGAAGCGGGAGGGAGGCGAATGGGAAGAGAGAGAGGAAGGCAAGTGAGAAGGGAAAGAAGGGAGAAAGGGAAGGGAAAGAAGGGAGAAAGGAAAGGGAAAGGGAAGGGAAAGAAATGAACGATGGGTAATAAGGGATGAAAAGAGATATGAAAGCAGTAGGTTTAGTGGGGACGCGAAGGAGAGAGACATGGGAACACTGACAAGAAATAGAGAGGAATGTTAATAACAAAAGAGGACAAAGACAAGAACAAGGAAAATAAGATTAACTTTGAAACAGATAAATGTTCATGATAAACATACGAGAGAAGAAAGACAAAAATTTAAATTTATTCAATGCTTCATAGCGCTTCGTAGATTAAAATATATTGAAATAGATACTAGTATTTACATAAAGCACCCGACATGACTTGCTTAAATGACTCTTCTTCTATCAGATTGCAGAGATACAGTTGCAACTCGGCCAACTGAACCTCAACCCTTACACTCAGTGGCCCACCATCATGCACCAGCAAAGCGGATCGCCCTCTCTACCAGTATCTTCTCGGAGAGATGTAGGCTCCTCCGCAGGTCCCGAGGGCAGCGTTCCTCCGCCAGTAGTCCCTATGCAAGTGAGCCTGAGCCCGGACGCGCCCAGCGCCCCCGGGGAAGCCACCGTGGCGGGAATGGTCCCTGGTGCGCCGCTCGCTGGCAACATCGGGGGTACATTTGCTTCTGGAATTGGCGGGCTCTTGGCGTCGCTGGACTTGGAACAGTTAGCGAATAACCCGACCTTCCAGCGGCTAATAATGCAACAGTTCCAAAAGTCAATTATGAACGTCCTAAGCTCTCCCAACTTTGATCTGGGCAATCTTTTCCCTGACGGGCGTACAATGTACGAACACCAGCAACATCAGCAACAACAACATCAACAGCAGCAGCAACATCAGCAGCAACAACAACGACAGCAACAGCAACTACACCAACAACAACTTCAGCAACATCAGCAGCAACAGCAGCAACTGCAGCAACAACAACAACAACTTCAGCAACATCAGCAACTGCAGCAACAACAACTGCAGCAACAACTGCATCAACAACAGCAGCAGCAGCAGCAACAACAGCAGCAGCAGCAACAACTGCAGCAGCAGCAGCAGCAACAACAACAGCAGCAGCCTCTGCCTAACGAGGCACATCCAAATTCGCCACTGATGCCTGAACAGACATCACATCCTCCCCACACATCATCGTCAGAGTTTATCATGCAGCAGCAGCAGCAGCAGCAGAAGCTCTCATCTCAGTCACATGGTCAAGCAGAGCATGTTTCACTTCCTGCCCAAGACTCGGACCTCATGACGCAGCTGGACTATATCAGTTCTAGCCATCAAAGCAGCCTACAGGGCGTCCCGCAATCCCAGCATGCTCTTATGCAACTGGAGCCTCAACCCATGGATGGTGTGGGTGAGTATGGCGATTTTGAAGAACAGAACCACCACCATCAACGGCAACAGCAGCTTCAGCAGCAGTACCAATTTCATTTGCAGCAACAGCAGCAAGCCCTATTTATCCAGCAGCAACAGCAGCTGCATCAACAGCGGCTACAACAAGAGCAGCAACAGCAGATGCATCAGCAAAGTATGTCAGGATCGGGTTTGATCATTCCAAAGCAGGAACCAATAACGCCTACGTCTCCCACTGTACACACTCCGCATCCCTGGATGGAACACCCGCTGCTCTACGACGACCCTCACAGTCCTACCCATCTACATCAGCAACATTCCCAACCTCACGACCCCCACTTCCCTCCCCATCAGCATTCCCCGCCTCACGACTCCCACTTTCCTCCTCATGAACATCAGCAACATTCCCCACCTCACCAGTCTTCCCCCTCACACAGTGGCTCACGAGAAGATTGTTCGCGTCTAAGGCGCAATTCGTTGACTGACTACTCTGGTCTTACTCATTTTCGGAATATGTTGGAAGAGTTCGCCACCTTAGACAACCCAGACCATCTTCGGCAAGTGAAAAAGATACTGGGTGATGATTTAGTATCATCTTTACAGCATAGGTTAATGGGATCAACAGTGCAGTCACGACTTGACTTCCCACAGCAGCCTCTTCCACCATCACCATCACATTCTCTGTCTCCATCACCACCACACACTCTTTCTCCATCACCACCACACCCCCTGTCTCCATCACCACCACACACTCTTTCTCCATCACCACCACACCCCCTGTCTCCATCACCACAACACCCTATGCTTCCATCATCACCACACCCCCTGTCTCCATCACCACAACACCCTATGCTTCAACCACCACACCCCCTGTCTCCCTCACCATCTCACCCCCTGTCTCCATCATCACCACACTCTCTGTCTCCCTCACCACCACACTCTCTGTCTCCATCACCACCACACCCCTTGTCTCAACCCTACGTCTACTCACCCCCAGCTACTTACCAGTATTTTCAAACAGGGGATTACCCTGAAGAGGTGACGATAAGCAGTGTCCCTGCTAACCTCTGCTCCCCCGACCCACACTACAGTCTTGCAGACACCTCGTCTTTCTGCAGAAGCCAACATCGAATTTTGCCGCCACATTTAAGCCTTGGGTCCGCCCCGTCACCCTCCATGGCTGCCGCCAGTGTCCCCAATACGGGGTTCCGGTACAACTCAGACCTCCTCAATAATGTCTCGTCCACTACGTGATTTGCAAATTAACTTTAAGTATTTGGCTTTAGTGTATTTTTCTTATTCCTTCTTATCGTTTGTACATTATTATTATTGTTTTTACTGATTAGTTCCGACTGTTTTAAATACGAAAAAACCCGCCTTTGTGGCAGAGTAATCAATAATATTGATAATATTGTTGCCTTATACGTTAAATGAAGATTTAATTTTATTTAAAGTATACGAGCGGATGATACTGTTGCATTTTGATAATGTATTATTCATATTTACACTAAATAAAGTTTTCAGCTGCATCAATGTTAAAGGTACTTATACAACTCGTTCTTTGAATTCAACAATTACAGTTTTTTGTCAGCATTACAGCTGTATCTAATTGCAACTTCCTGTGGACAATATCGATGCCTTCTCTTGCAACATCTTGAATGCAATACTATTGTAGGTTCGTCTGGAAGGAACTTGATTATTATCAGAGTCAATGGACTAGAAGGAATGTAATTTCCAGTTCAAGTTAGTGTTTGAAAGTACTTGCTCAGGATAAATTAATTCATAAGCTGCCATTGTTTTTCAAATCGTAGTCATTGCAATCAAATCTTGCAACTGATCAGACCTGTCCATTCCCACCACGTCTATCAGCGTTATTATTCCATTGAATAATATGCCATATGAGGTTCATCTTTCTAAATCTAACTCAAAAATATAACACTCAAAATCTAACAAAATATATCTTATATTTTTAAAGGGGGGTGGGGTTTGGGGGGGGGGAAATTTAAATATATCAAACCGTTAAAGCCTCATATAAGAATTATTAAAACTGTGATATATTGCTTACTAGAAACACATTTCAAACTAATTAAAAATAACACTGAAGTTATTTCAGTATTATTTACACTGAAATAATATGTAAATGTTTTATATTTAAAAAAAATTGCATATAAAAATGTAATGTTTTAATAAAGGCTAATTTGCAAGGTCATGGTATAATTTATGGTGATACTTTCCCAAGGTCAATGGTGATATTGTTCGAGGTCAATGGTGGTACTACTCCCAGGTCAATGGTGGTACTACTTCCAGGTCAATGGTGGTACTACTTCCAGGTCAATGGTGGTACTACTCCCAGGTCAATGGTGGTACTACTGGTGGTACTACTTCCAGGTCAATGGTGGTACTACTTCCAGGTCAATGGTGGTACTACTCCCAGGTCAATGGTGGTGCTACTTCCAGGTCAATGGTGGTACTACTTCCAGGTCAATGGTGGTACTACTTCCAGGTCAATGGTGGTACTACTTCCAGGTCAATGGTGGTACTACTTCCAGGTCAATGGTGGTACTACTCCCAGGTCAATGGTGGTACTACTTCCAGGTCAATGGTGGTACTACTCCCAGGTCAATGGTGATGCTACTTCCAGGTCAATGGTGGTACTACTTCCAGGTCAATGGTGGTACTACTTCCAGGTCAATGGTGATATTGTTCGAGGTCAATGGTGGTACTACTTCCAGGTCAATGGTGGTACTACTTCCAGGTCAATGGTGGTACTACTTCCAGGTCAATGGTGATACTACTCCCAGGTCAATGGTGGTACTACTCCCAGGTCAATGGTGGTACTACTTCCAGGTCAATGGTGGTACTACTTCCAGGTCAATGGTGGTACTACTCCCAGGTCAATGGTGGTACTACTTCCAGGTCAATGGTGGTACTACTTCCAGGTCAATGGTGGTACTACTTCCAGGTCAATGGTGGTACTACTTCCAGGTCAATGGTGGTACTACTTCCAGGTCAATGGTGATACTACTCCCAGGTCAATGGTGGTACTACTCCCAGGTCAATGGTGGTACTACTCCCAGGTCAATGGTGGTACTGCTCCCAGGTCAATGGTGGTACTGCTCCCAGGTGAATGGTGGTACTACTCCCAGGTCAATGGTGATACTACTTCCAGGTCAATGGTGGTACTACTCCCAGGTCAATGGTGGTACTACTCCCAGGTCAATGGTGGTACTGCTCCTAGGTCAATGGTGGTACTACTCCCAGGTCAATGGTGGTACTACTTCCAGGTCAATGGTGGTACTACTCCCAGGTCAATGGTGGTACTACTCCCAGGTCAATGGTGGTACTACTCCCAGGTCAATGGTGATACTACTCCCAGGTCAATGGTGGTACTACTCCCAGGTCAATGGTGGTACTACTCCCAGGTCAATGGTGGTACTACTTCCATGTCAATGTTTCCGTTCTTGTTCAGTCAAGCGTTCATTCCACTGTCAATCGTACCCATGTGAATAAATGTGTACCATCTGTTCCAATTATCCCACTCCACGTGTTAAGACTTCTCCTTCCAGTCTTAAACACCTTTTAGACTCGCTACCTGAACCTGTGCTCATTTTAGGTTAAATTAACCGTGGGCGATGTCCTCACTGTTTAATATAGGTATTTTGCAATACCATGCGCCATGCCCAGCTTGTGGGCGGTAGCGGAAAAACGTTACAGAGGCACATAATCGGCTCAGGAACTGAATCCCAATTACGGGTTATTCATGCCCGTGCCACACACACTCTACACATCTCCTGTGCAATGTGTGGTTAAGAGTCCCCCATATTTACTACCTACAGTTAGTAAACTGAAGATGTTTGGTTTAATTTCTGGTAGTAGATAATTTTGAATGAAATAGTTACATTTTTTTAAACACTTCTTAAAGAGCTGTCTCTAAATTCGTGCATCTTTTGCACTCCATCACATAGTGACGGAGGGAGTGAGGGAGGGAGGGAGGGAATTATCAGAAGACAGCGCCAAGCCGTTACGACTATATAGCACTTGGAAGGGGTCAGGATAAGGATTTGGGATGGGACGGAGGGAAGGAATGGTGCCCAACCACTTGGACGGTCGGGGATTGATAGTGACGGAGGGTGTATGAATAATGTTAACAGTTTACATTTGATCAGGTTTACATCAGCAGGTAATGAAAACTCCCAAAGATACTTATAGCAGAGTCTAAAGCCGAGTAGCAGTAACATCTAGGAGTCTGCTGATTTTATTGGATGTGTGGCTCTTCTTTCGTAATAGTATGACGAGAGATGGAATTGCTAGTGTAGATATCACTCTGCCTCATATCCGCTAAAAAAATACCATAATCCACTAAAGATTTAATATATGCGAAGTATAACATTTTAATAATTCAGACATTGGCACCATACTCTACTACAGCCTTGAGAGCTCTGAGCCTCTCTTTACACTGGTGACAGAGTCTGATTACAACAGGACCACACAGTGGGACCTCAAGGCCAAGGTATATGAATCTGTTTACACAGTCAAGCTGGGGAACCATCATACAGTTTGAGCTTGCAAACAGCTCCTCCCTGCCTGGGTGGACGTCGATTTAGTGTGTTATTTCTGCAGTGAAGACTAGGTCCTAGGTCCTGGCAAATCTAATACGGAGTTAAGAGTGTCTTGCGTGTTAGCATACCCAATGGTATGTATCAGTATATCAGCCAAATGTGTTTGTTGGGTCTGCTAGGCTCAGAGTTTAATAGCGCATTTAAACATTAAATAAGGAATGCTGAGGACATCTCCCTGTAGGGGTGTCGACCACCAATATTCATTTTCATTAATTTTGCCCCGAGGGGCGAGTTTATTGGGCTCACTCGGTTTGCAGTATCCAAGGCAGACTTGAGATCCAGTAAGGTACGTGGTGTATATATATATATATATATATGACTTTTCAGTGTGCAGGGCGAGAGGAAGGTGGTTATGCACACTCCTTCCATATAGGCCTTTTGAAGTTTCTTTAATTCTTATGTTTTTATTTGTTAGATCCTTCCCCACAACCACCACCTCTCATTAGTCTAATCCCTGAAACTACGTTTATCTCAGAAGCTAACCCCCAATACTCTGTAAGTTCAATTCCATCCTCAATATATTAATCATGACATTTCTTGAGCATCTTTTAATTATTCGTATGGCTTTGTTTGTACCGTCTCTAACTTTAGACTACTTTCATAAAAAAAATATTTACTACAGTTATTTACCAGCAGATAGTCTGTCTAGTATCCTCATTTCACAGGATGGTTAGTCTTAACATGGAATCAGGAAGAAACATGAGATGTGAGTCTAGTCTACTACCCAGCACTAGCAAACTCTGGGTAGAGCACAAGAATATCTCTCAGTACTTGTGAGTGTATGAAGTAGTTACAGAGCTCAAAGTATCTCATGCCATTTGGCCTGAAGCCATTGATAACAGGACATGACTTCTTGAACTGAATGTACAAATTCGTTAATCTAATCACAGAAGCTAAATTTATCTCAGAAACGCTTAAGTCCTGTAGCTAATACTTTTTTTCTTCCTAAGAGCCCTACTAATCATGATTCCCAGATCTTTTACGTACCCAGATATTATCTGGTAAGTTCAGAACCCTATATCTGAAAGCATTAAACTGCATTTGTTATATTTCATTATATTTAGACTGAATTTTTAAGTCTATCTAGATAGCCTTGAAGCTATTTTTAGTCTTCGAATTTATTTCCGGCATTATTCTCTTGGGGTCTGCAAATTTGCAAATGTTGTTATTTATCTCTGTGTCTAAATAGTTTATATATCATAGGGATTCTCTCCAGCTTATAATAAATTTGGCAGTCAATGCATTTAATAATAAGTCATTTTAAACAACCCGCCATTTTGAAGCCAGGCTCAAGTGTCAATCGCCTAGATACGGATTATAATCCAGCAAATATTACACCATATTTTTAAACACTTTATAACATTATATTTGTGTGGTTAATATACATAGTGTAATGTTAGTATATAAATAAGTTTCCGGCATACATATTTATAAACAAATTAATTTAAATCACTAAAATAACTATATTCACGCAAGAGTTCCGTATGTAATTTCCAAGGCTGTAAATGCGCAGTGAGAAGGAAAGAATATTAAGCCTTATTGGTGTAGTAGAAGCAGACAAATTCTGGGTCTTAGGCAGTGCTTAGGCCTTCCCCCGAGTCATGATATCCTCCCGAGTGTTGTGAGAGAGGAGCGAAAGGAGGAAGAGAAAAGGCCCAGGGAGTCTGAGTGAGTGTGTGGGGGTGGAGTTTACTAGGAAGGCCATTTACTCTTGAGAGATCTCGCGCAAGAGTCTATAGACTCACTACTACCACTACCACCACCACTACCACTACTACCAGCTCCGACCTCTCGCCTGCTATCGTCTCCTGGAATACCCATACCCAGTGCACCTCCTAGATAAAAGGTATATACAGTGTGATAATGTGGGATATTTGGTCACGGGGGATTTTAACCCCTCGGTGGTGGTGCTGATTCACCCTCACATGGCTGGTTCCTCGCTATTGTTTCATGTACTCTACACTTGACCTGGTATATATATATATATATATATATATATATATATATATATATATATATATATATATATATACTTCACATGACCTGGTACAGTACATATACTTCACTCGACCTGGTACATCATTACATATGTGGGCTCGTGGAATTACAGTGTGCTGTATTGTTCTTCAGAGTTTATGGGGGAGTTACTGTGTTATATTTAAAAAGCTTGCATTTTGTTTTATTTCGGAAGGCCTATGCACAGTTGGGTTACATTTAGTGGGAGTAATAATGCTAGGTGACTTAATGTATAGTGAGTATAACAGTAAATGTGTAGCGTCAGCCAGGAAATTATCTGGGTGGATTGAGAACCTTCAAATCCATGGATATCACTACAGTACTCCTGCTTTTGGATTCAGGTGTGCTTTCTCATCTTGAATACTGTTCGATAAATGCCTTCCTTTTTATGGCAAGAGAAATCTTTGAAATAGAAGGACTACAAAGAACATACAGTATACTAACTAATACAAAGCCACTAACATGCATAGCATGTTATATAATATGCTATACCAGGTGCATAGCATGATAGCAGCTTTGCAAGAATGTAATAATAATAATAATAATAATAATAATAATATTATGTAATAATAATATTTTTATTATTATTATTTTTATTTACAAGAAGGTACAATGGGCTTGTGAGATTACATAAGATTGGTATTTTTACATTCTTGCAAGGTCACTAACGTGCATAGCATTTTGGCCAGAAATGCTGTGTGTGTATTGGTAAGATACAATACCAAGAATGGTATAGTATATTGTATCTTATATTGGTAAGATACAATACCAAGAACATTGGTAAGAATACCAATGTTATGTACTCTATCTCAATGTACCTTCTTGTATATAAATAAAGTAAGTAAATGTATAAAATAAATAAAGTAAAATATTTAAAATACTTGGATCATCTTAAAACACTTAAAATGTATTCTGGATATGAAATGAAAGGTATCATAATATATATATGAAAGATACTCGAAGGTCAGGTCCCATACATGCACAGTAAAATATTAACTTACTATAGTGAGAGAGATGGTAGGAAATGGAAAATAACCCTGTGAAAAAAAATATAGGTGCCATACAGTCAGAGAATACTATATGAGCATCGTAGGCCTGCTGCTCATCAACTACCTACAGCCAAAAATAAGACCTACTGCCATAACAAAAGTGGAAAATTAAGAGGCACTCAATCAATTTCTGCAGGAAGGGTTAGATTAATTAGTTGTAGTGAATATATTGGTTGTGTGGTCTGCTTCAAGCAACAGCCGGACTGAGCAAGTTATCACTAGAGAAACCTGGCCTCGGTCAGTGCTGGGAAAGTACAACTCTTGAAGTTGATGAGGTAAACTTCTGGTAAACTCACTTGATGAGTTAGGCACAGCAGGTGGGGGAAGTTTCAGGCTCACTTGATGAGGCAGTTCATTGAGTGACCAATAATTTAAACTCCATGCGCGATTATTATATAGTACTCACTCATGGCATACTCACTTACCTCTATCAAAAATAACCAGGATTTTTTATAATGGAAAGGATACCATTATGGAAACCACCAATGCAGTGAAATAGCAAAACGAAATGTTTATAAAATAACACCACAGTCATGTTTGTAGGTGAATATGTGATGCAGTAAATAAATGTGGTATGTATAGGCAACTGGATATAAATTGAAGAGTGGTGTCTGGCTCTCCGGGTGCCAATATCCCAACACTTACACTTGCAGTACTGTATCACCGATCTGTGAGAGAATTTTGCCAATATGGTACTGTATAATCCTTTATTTTCAGGTCTATACTATAACCCCCCTTCATTTCAATAAAATTATGTAATACTCCAATAGTAACATGTAGTACAGTACTGAACCTGGTTCTTAAATGTTTGGCCACAAAGGGAGACATGCTGTGCTCTCGACTATTTTACTGATTATTTAGCTGCGCATGGAATTGGGGTATGATTTTATCAGGCTGCAAAATAAACTACATATACGTCCTTTATTTTTCAGACTAGAACATGAGGCAGTGGCCAAAATATTTATTGCCAATCTTCATTTGATGTTAATCAGGACATCAATGAATCTAAATAAATTGCAACTACAGTCATTCTGGTAGGAGCAGTGAAACATCCTGATGCCCTTGGAATGGAGGCTGGTACTAGACAGAGGGTAAGATTAAATGTCTATACAGTGCAGTATTTTTGTAAATTATTTAGTTAAAATTGTTATTGCTGCTGTTCTAACTAATTCATAAGAATATTAATGAATGTACAGTTTTATTATCTTAATGCTTAATTATTCAGTATATAGTATATAAAATTTATCTTATCAGATATGTAGAATGTGCTTTATATTCAAAGAGCTGGTTTTGGGGGGTTGATATCAGCTGTTGCCACTAGTTGTTGCCTCTTTCTGCATGGCAGTTTTGTTTCTGACTGGGAAATGGTTTGGGTTCCCCCTTTTATCCCCTCTACTTGTGCTCCCCCCCCCCCCCCCACATTCCATCGTTTCCCATCCCTCCCAGTACTGGTCAACTTTTGGAGCTCTTGTCCAGGGTCTCGATTTTCTGCCTGCACTGTCTTTTTTGGCGATGCTCTGGTCTGGCAGCTGTCTCCTCCTTTTCTGGTGAAGAACGAGACGGTGGCTTTCCGGAGGGGCCCTTGGGTCATTGGTGCTTGGTTGGCCAGGTCGGGGGTGCATCATGTGTTGTGTCCGGTTGCGGCTCTTGGCCATTATTATAATTATTTTTAATTAATAATTATAATTATTTAATAATTATTTTTATTTCACTGCTTACAGATGATGATTTTGGCAGCATGGATGTTAGCAGGTCTTGCTCACTGGTGCCAGGCAGATGTGATTATTATTTCAACACTAACCAATAAAACATTTACGGCAGTTGGGGATCTTCCTGCACTATTTGGACCACCTATTCCTCTAACAGGCTTCAAGGTAACCTTGAAACCCTAATAATACCTATGTTCTAGAAATGTGATGCCTGCATTAATGAATGTGAGTGGGTTGAAAAATGTTGATTGCTTCCATAAGCCTATGTAAGTGGAAAAGTAGAAAGAAGTGGTTAAAAAGAGAAAATGTAAATCTGCCTATACAGTATTCTCTCAGGTAAATAAATAAATAAATAAATGTTTATTTAGGTAAGGTACATACATACAAGAGATTTTACAAAGTTTGTTGGATTAATAGATAGAGCTAGTACATACAATGCCTAAAGCCACTATTACGCAAAGCGTTTCGGGCAGAAACGCAGGTGTTGCAATCGGTCATTCCTTCAAAGTATTATTTTGCCTTTGTTAGTCATTCACAAACCATTACTTTTGTTAACAACTAGCAAGGAATATTTTATTTTAGTTAAGATGCAGTTCATTACAATGAGGAATTTTTATGGTTGTTAGTTGTCAGCGAGCAGTGCAAAGAATTTTGTAATTTTAGTGGTTATCGTTCTTGTCAATCAACAAGTGTGCCAGCCTGGTTAAAGAGGTGGATAATGCTATTTATTTGTGAGAAAATAACAGTTGTTTAGGTAAACCCTTATTTATACAGAAGGCATTATCACCAGAGGTGTTGCCATTGATAGTCAATTTCTCATCTACCTAGAGGCTACCGGTAAATATAGTGATAAGGATATCCACAAATAAATAAAGATGGAAAAAGACATTCAAACTTTCTGCAAATATATGCATATAGTGATTGTTTGAGGTAGTTGATATTCCAAGTCACGGAAGAAAATTCCTGCAAAAGCAGCAAGCAAAACACGGTAGTGTGTGCAGGCGATGAGTCACAATAACGTGGCTGAAGTATGTTGACCAGACCACACACTAGAAGTTGAAGGGACGACGACGTTTCGGTCCGTCCTGGACCATTCTCAAGTCGATTCAAATTGACTTGAGAATGGTCCAGGATGGACCGAAACGTCGTCGTCCCTTCAACTTCTAGTGTGTGGTCTGGTCAACGGTAGTGTGTGCTGGTGCTTTATGTGATAAGTGTGATGGTACTTATCAACCATAAATTTGTACTGTCATATATAAGCCTATCATCCTGTTTAGATAGTACTTGTAGTAACAATGTGGCCCATCGTAGGCCTCGGATAGTGTGTATAAGGCCTAAGAGGGTTAGGTTAGATCTTATTAGCAACAAATACAAAACCTTTCCCGGTTTGTCCAAATTCATTTTTACGAAATTCTACTTTCTAATTGTCCATTTCATCAATATGTGTACTATGTTCCACATAGTTACAAAAAGTACTTTCTTAAGAGGAGGAAGGTTGTTTTTTATATATTGTATATATATATATATATATATATATATATATATATATATATATATATATATATATATATATATATATATATATATATATATATATATATATATATATATATATATATATATATATATATATATATATATATATATATATATATATATATATATAAATGTGTGTGTGTGTGTGTATGTATGTGCCAGTTGTGTTTATTTCAAAAAGTAGAGAATGTGTAAGAAGGTTATACTATTATCATTAACATATTATATCATGACATAAATATATATATATATATATTATATACATATTAGTAAGTAGAGTAGATAAATTAGTTGAAAATGCATTAGTGGTACCTAATTAATTGCTTACTAAGTGTATCTAGTCTATTTTTATAGTTTAAAATTTGCTTAATTTTAACAGGGTTATGCAATTTATGTGACGCCTCCTGATGCATGCTCGAAGGTACGACCACCACCAAAGTCCAAGAATATTACTGGACCGTGGATTGGAATTGTGAAGAGATACAACTGTGCATTCGTTGAGAAAGTACTAAATACTCAAATTGCCGGCTATGATGCTGTTATTGTTCACAATGTTGGTTCAAATTCCATACGTAAGTCTTGGCTTTTTTTAACCTTTGCATTACAAAAAAGAGAAATATTGTACTGTAATTCACAAGTTGTATTGTAATTGGAAAAGGCAATAGCCATGCTTTCCAGCCCCTTGAAAAAGGGAAACTGTGAAATGCAGTTGAATATGTAAAGCTACTCGCATAACTCTTGTTCATCATCATCATCATCATCATTACCTCCTTTCACATATTCGTAGGGTGGAAAGGCATTGACCCGGAAAAAACTATTACCATGTCATTGACATATATGAAGGAACAAGGACCACCATTCTCCAAATTATTTGAAATAGCACCCCTCACCACATCTTAAAATTGTGTGTAGATCTCATGGGTTGTTACACAAATTAAAAACACATTCACTCCTCATAGATTATCACCAAGCCTTGTCCCTTACCATGTCCAATGCACTGTTCACACCGAATTTTCACTGTCTGATACTTTCCATGTTATGCTCATTACCTTGGCTTTTCTCTCCCACTATTCTTAAATTTACTAATTTTCTCTGCCAGTCTTATCATTATTTATTTGTTTATCAGCGCAGACCATCGTGGTACACTCCTCAATCTTGAGATATATATATACAGATTTTTCTGTGCAGAGCTCCGGAGGCTACCTGGAGCTATACTGGGTTGATGTGTATATCTTGGACCATGGCAACAGGCAATTGATGGAGTTCTATGCTTACCGGGGACCATGAGCCTGAGCCTGGCCTCCTCGGAGAGGCACGAGGAGCAGTGGCCCATAGACACCCCTCCATGTGGTTGAAAGCAGCCTATATCTGCCATCAACTAGGTCAGGCATCCAGAAAGATAGGAATCCCAAAACAAACTGCATATGGTTAAAAATTTTGCAAACCGAAAGCTGACAGTGCAAGCAGAACTCCCCAATCAGAAAACAAGCAAACAAGCATGACTCATCACAGATGCCACAGCTGCACCGCTGTCTATGCAGCTTCCCCCTCCTCGGGAGAGGGAAGGGAGGGCTCCAAACCTCCCGTGCTGGCTACCCACCCCACTTCAAAGGCTGGATATCAAAAACTAGAAAAAACACTGACCAGAGGGAGGGAAGGATGCCGTGGAGCCTCTGGGTATTGCCCAGAAAATGGTGTTTCATTACATTCAATGCTGGTTTGCTGTGGAGAGCCCCTTTGGCTTCCTGGAGCTACCTAACCAAAGATAAAGGAAAAGAGGCACTTACCCGGAAGGCAGCCGGCACTCGCTGCCTAGACAGCCCAAGACATTGACAAAAACAGCAGCCAAAGCCACGAACTTTCAAACGTTGTCCTGAACCGAAGGGGTTACGACAAAACAGTCCTTAACCAAAGGGGCTACTACAAACCGAGAAGAGAGAAAAGAGAGCACTTGGTCCAACGTCCAGGATGGCTCCGGCGGTGCATGAGCAGGCTGGAGGTGAAACAGTGCCCGAGAAAGCTTGCAGAACAGAGCAGAAGTGACCTCCAACCCGAAAGCAAGCTGAAGAGGCTCTGCCAGTGCCGCACGATACGAGGCGACAGTATTCAGCATAAGATGACAGTCCTAAAACAACCAAGAGAGAAAGGACAAAACAACCTGATCAGAAATCGAAGACAACCTAGGAAGAGTCAAAAAGTGCCGAAAGGACCATCAGGAAACGTCATACTGCTGCCGAGACGAAACTCGCAGGTGGGACACCATCAACGAAACCACCTGATCACCATTCAAGTGGTGATAAACCTGCATCAAAAAGACCAGACGTGAAGAGCGGAGAAGATTGAACCAGCCACTACTGAACCAGACTGATCATTGAAAGAGGCGGAGCTGCAGGAAGACCTTTGAGTTCAGACACCGAGCAAGCAGCGCCTGAAACCAAGGCTGGGCTTGGCACCAAAGGGGCCAACAGGACTACTCTTCCCTGGTAAGTCTCCAAGCGAGCTAGGACCTGGAGCAACAACCGAACCCGGGGAAAGAGGTAGAGATTGTTTTACTGTTCTTTTTTTTTTTTTTACCATGATCTTTCTCGTAAATCCATCCATATTTATGCTGAACTAAGTTGACATGCCACAACCCTATCATATATTTGTGTAAGTATGAAAACAGTCTCTTTGCACCATTAACTCTTGCACATATACAGCTTCTTCATAAAACTTTTAACATATAACATGACTTGGCAGATTCCATGTATGTTCATTAAACTGTGTGAACATTGTCAATGTAGGAAAGAAATTTGTTTTTCACTGTAAACCAATAATTATATATAAATATTTTATATTTGAATGTAGTAATTGTTAAGTCTTTCTTTGCAGAGCCCATGGGTTCCGACAACCAAAGTTTGTCAGAGAAAGTGAATATACCATCAGTCTTCATTGGGCAAGATGATGCATTTATGATTATTGAAAACTTCCTCTATGATAAAGGGTAAGTTTGTTTCAGCTGAATACGTATGCAGATCAGGAAGACTTGTTTTATCTCTTGTACTAGTCTCATCATCTCATTTTTGTTTGTACCTTAACAGATGTGAATTTTTGGCCTGGCTTAATTTTCTCTGTCTAACATCTTGCTTTAGTTTGTTTTAATATGCTGCTGCTGATCAGTTTGTGTGTGTCTCGTGTTTAGACTGGTATTATTACATGCCCAGGTCTCTTTCCTTACTTGATTCATAAACAGTAACTTCAATGGATTCATAACTTCAGTGGCCACATCTTGCAAAGCAAGGTGGGCCACTACCAAAGTTCATAATTGTAAAGACAGTCAAAATGCCTAAAAATTGTGACGTGCAATATAGTTTGTGCGTGGCATCGCTAAGTGTACAAATGTCTATAAACCTTTCAACATTCCACGTTTTTGTTTTTTCTTTTTTTCTTATAAAGACGTGTGCCCGTGATTGATACATAATGCTGTGCAGTATAGAGAAAACAAATAGTTAAATACCGGTGGCTCTTCAGAAATATGAGGGGGGTATGGTCCTGAAAAGCCAATTGTATAGATAATTGAAAGTTAGTAATATATGCCCACCAAACACACGTGACGAAACTACGATGTTGCTACAATGTTCGAACACGTTTTAACACCTAACAATTGTAACAACCAATATTGCAAGTTGTAACAATGTTCTAATACGTCATAAAAAAAACATTATAACAAGATGTAACAACTTTATTACAAGTTGTAACAAGGGAATCATAGGGACAGTTAAGTTGTGTGTTTGCAGGGGTGGGAAATCCACTTTATAATCATGGATATTAAATACCAAAGTTAATATATGTTACTGATTAATACTGATGTTAATATTCTCCATGATAATTAACAAGAAAGTCGGTACCAATGTTGAAATCAACATATATATGATAGCCACATTGCACATGAATCAACGTATGATGATAGCTGCACTGTAAGTGTTAATTACCTTCTATCATCAACCCGCAGACCCCCCCCCACCTCATCCACAGAGTAAACACAATCTGGTCTTGTTCGTATCGTGCGTTTGTGGGTCACTGAGGACTTGAGCGCTGTCACTCTCAGCATTGTCATCTTCCCAGCAACACCATTTCCATAGACATCCAATGCCTACACCTACTCCTAACTTGGAAGGCTGTTCAGGTGGATGAGTATTCATATCGATGAGCCAAAAAATATTTTTCATTATAAAATTATTAATTTGCTTGCAGAATGTAAGAAAAACATGAAAATAAGTGGATGTTTATTGAGTCACCGGGTTGAGGCGTTCTGCAAGACTGTGTCTGGTACTTGTCAAAACCTGGTGCTCGACTTTGTTGACGCTTCCTGTCTTATCCTCGGATGTTTCACTAATTGTTTTATCACTTGCTTTTCTTTATTTACATCCACAGAGAGCTTCTATATCCATGTTTGCATCATACATGTAAAACCGAGACAATAATTGTTTAAATTGTCATATGACCACATTTCCCTAGTAACATTCATGATGATAACCGCATTCGTACTATGAAATGGTGGTAGGATTTTTGTCGTGGATCTAGGTAAACTCTATTACATCCATATAGACCTATTATGCAGACTATAATTATATCAATATTTACATCATACATGTAAATCCCAGACAATAATTGTTTAAATCATCTTTTGATGATAACCTCAGACTCCCTAGAGATTGTCAATAGCCTATAATCACAGCCTAGGGGTTAATTTAAACCTTCTTACTCATTTGATCAATGTGTGACTGGTGTGAAATTCTTGATTAGGGTGAAAATATTCTAAATATAATGCTAGCATATCAGTCCCATGTGTGACAGTCTGTTGACTTCAGACAGTTAGGCGAGTCCCCGTTGCATCTGGGCACTAGGTGGGGGTACTTGCTGCTATGCAGTATAGTCACTTGCAGGATGATTGATACTGCCCAATAAACTTGTCCCATGGGACAAAGTAAAAAATGAAATAATTGTAATATACTCCCACACTTACTGTTGAACAAAATCACAGCCAAGTGACTTTTCATTCGCTTCTGTACTAGTCTCTAGGTCAGGACACATTTGGAACATGTGTGTGAGGCAGTACAGGATACACATTTTCTCTCTCTCTTTTATTCTGTCTCTAATTATCTCTCTTGCTCTCTCTATAATTCTCTCTCCCCCTGTGCTCCCCTCTTATCTGTATCTCTCAGTACATGCATTTGTTGTTCCCTGATATTATTTTTAACTTCAAAATGCTTCTTCTATAAATAACTATTAATAGAAATAAGTAATAAGCACTAAATAAAAGTAATATTTTATGAAAATAGTTGTGAATAATATTTTAGTTACAAGGTATGCTAGTAAGGTAACTAAAATGTATTCTTTGTTTTCGACCTTGCAACCCAGTGATAAGCATCTCATAACCCGTTACTAGATCACGACCTGTACTTTGAAGAACCCTACTTGTTTCTGCTTATTTTGCTAATGTTGTATAGTGCTAGATTAGCTGCTGCTATTAAATTTTTATTAAAAACTGTGTAATATGCTAAACATTAACACAAGTTGCATTCCACGCCTCCCTTCAGAATCTTATTTGACCAATATTCATAAAATGAGAGACTCCTCGTGCCTCACTAGTAATACCGACTATTTCCTGTAGGTACATTCTGGAGATAACTGATGACCTTCCCTTCAACCTACAAAACTACTTGGTACCCTTTGCCATCACCATTGGTATCTGCTTCATAGTTATGCTCACGTTTATGGTAAGTTCTGGCTTGTTCATTATCTGTAGAGCTTGGCCATACATGTATGTTTTGTATATTCGGTGCTTCCTCAAACATCCCAGCTCTACATGTAGAGGATCCCTCTAAACAATGAATCTCAAACTAGTCCACTGGATTGCCCTTTCAGATTTCAGATATGTTGGAAAAAGTCTGAATTCCAGAGGGTGGCTGTGGTGAAATTTGAATCCTTAGGTAATGTAATTTCCTGGAAGCCGTGTTTTCTTAAATTTTAGCCATTATGCTTTGTTTAGTTTTCAGTTACGGTCCAGAGTTTAGGTAAATGAAAGTGTTAGAAATGTTGTTCTGAAAATAGTTAGTTATGAAGTACAGTACAATAATATCTCTTAAGTTATATTAAGCCTATTTATCTAGGGCTGGGGTTATTGCTGTTGCTAACTCGTTGGAATCTGCGGTTAGAGGGGTTTGTTTGGGTTTAAACTAGATAGTGGTATGGGAATAGATATGGGGAAAGTATGAGTTGGTGGGGAAAAAAAAATTGTTAAAGGAACAGGGAAGGAGAAATGCCTCATATAGCAATACCCCCATACACTTAAGATATATTACATAGATAAATAAATAAATAAATAAATTAAAATCAATGCTTATTTAGGTAAAAGTACATATATATACAAGATGAGTTACAAACAGAATGTTAAATTTCTAGATAGAGTAAGTACATACTATGCCTAAAGCCACTAATACGCACAGCATTTCAGGCAAAACGGTAGGGGTTGATAGCTCGTGGGCATTTGGTTTTGGTCTTGCACTTCTTTTCTCTTCTCGAGCTGTCCTCGGACTGCTCCTGGTAGAAAAATTGTAACTTGAGACCGGACAGAGGTTAGAAACTCCTCTAAAGAAAAACAAGCAACACGTCATCACACTGTGAGCTGCTAACCCTTAAAGGACGCAAAACTATTCACCATTATAATTCACAATTTATAAGATTTTGAATTATATAACAATCTCAAAACATATGCTTGCAAAAATATAAAAAAATAGATTTTAAATTTACTAGAAACTTTTATAAAGGGAAAATCACTGTGTTATGTGCAGCATGAGTTTTGAGTTATGTGTAAATCCAAATTTAGCAGTCGATGGTTTTAAATGTTTTAATTGATTATTCAGTACAACATCTGAAGTACACAATGAAATAATTAGTAGTCTAATAGCACTACTAATTATTAGACAAGGTTTGTCAAATTTTAACTGTTATTTCTGATGTAGTCAGAAGTTGGGATACAAGTCAGTTGGTGCTTATAATTTAACTCTTTATTATGTCTGTATTTTCCTTACTGTTAAATGTTAAGCATTTTTTTTTTTCATGCTGTAAAGTGACTATGAATTGAAAATAACTCCTACAAATGGCTCCATTATGAATTGGACACCATTTATATTGGGGTACATTGCTCTCCTGTTGGGCATGCTCTTGTCCTTCTGCATAACTATGGTATGGAACGACTGCATATTAGTTGTCGTGTGCTGCCGAAATAGTTTGTGGTGTAGAGTTCATCCCAACATGTAGAGTAATTTTGTATCGTTATTGTACCTCTGCTTTCTTGGGTATGAAATGTAGTTTTCTTGTTATGATGAACCTGCAAATTATTCACTTTGCTTTGCTACACAACATGGTTTATTGCTGTAATAATTCTAAATGTTGAAAATATCTTGTTGAGTGATGAAGAGCACAACTCAATTTCCCTGTATTTTGATAAACTAGAAAGTACAGTACTCTACTATTTTTGGCTAAAACGATTATGACAGTTGTACTTTAAAATACAGTATTGTTTAATTCCCGAGTTTGATTATATGCTTGAATTTTTAGCTAATGATAAATGGCCCGTCATGATTTAAATTTTGTCTTTAAAAAATGTAAGCATTTATAAGTTGCAGTTTTAGTATATAAACCAATTGCATGTTGCTTTTTTGATAGTGAGCTTTACTTTTCTAGGTTGTGAAATGTGTCCGTGATTACCGGCGCTCTCGTCGTCATCGTCTGTCATCCAGAGCACTTAAAAAGCTTCCCGTTCATAAATTCAAGAAAGGAGACCCGTACGAATGCTGTGCCATTTGCTTGGAGGATTATGTAGATAATGATAAACTACGTATACTGCCTTGCGAACATGGTAAGTGCAGTGTTGTAAATGAGTATAATGTTGGTTTTTTATTGTAAAATCTTTATAACCTAAAGCTTGGAACTATACAAAACAAACTGTATAGAGGTGGATATCATCAGCTTGCTTGCAATATTCTTTACATAAACTAGAATATCATGGAGGTACTGTACATTTCCAACAAGTTTTATTAATTTTTCAAACACATTTGTCACGGTCCAATGTTCAGAAATTTCACAAAATGATTAGCCTAACTTTGGAAATACCTTGAAAAAAAAATCCTTTCATCATTACCTGTGCAGTACATTACCAGCAGTACAGTACTAACTGTAGAGTAGTAAATAATGTAAAAAGAAAAACTCCACGACTCTGATGAATGGCATTAAAATTGAAACCTACAAACAAAATTAGATCCTTATTGCATTCAGTACATTACAAACGATAATCCATGTGAAAATCACATACTGTGCCTCAGTCAACAATATATAGCCCATAAAATGTTTACATTGAAATGACAATCTACTATTGTGTAGAGAGAAATCAGACATTGAAAAAATAAATTTTTCTGAAATCATCATGACTTTTCGTAAAAAAAGTTCAAAATTCTCCTTAGTCAAAATTCAGTTTAATTAAAAATTCTCAAAAATTCTAAATTTGTAAAATTCAAAATATTTGAAGTTGCAAAATTTATACAAAAATGTTAAAAATTTTGAATTTTTTCAAAATTCTCAGATTTTATCAAAATTTTTTTTTAATTTAGTATGAACAGTTCACGTACTGTAAATAGAATTGTGGTTGAATTTGAAGTTGTCCTGTTATTTGTGGGTGTAATTTCAACCAACATTTGTAGGCAGTAGAGATTTTCATGGGTGTCAATGTTTGATGACCCTCTGAGAGCTGGCAACCTTGCCCTTCTTGAGGTTATCTTGAGATGATTTCGGGGCTTAGCGACCCCACGGCCCGGTCCTCGACCAGGCCTTCTTTTTGTTACACATCTCCAGGAAGCAACCCGTAGCAGCTGTCTAACTCCCAGGTACCTATTTACTGCTAAACTGCCCTAATTGGATATTATTTAAAAGAAACCCCCTAACCTCAATGCAACAAGGACCAGTTATTTATACACATCAGTAGATAATGCCTGACTACAGATGTATGTACAGTAGGCTAGTTTGTAAATTAGAAGTCTTCAAAATATTTTTAATGGGAGGACGGGCATGCTCCTACCAATTGAGAACTGCTTTAGCGACTGCATAATATGAAGTGTTGATTTAAAAATATTATGATTTTAATTAAATGATAATCTGAATGATTTATGCAAAATTTAATAGTAGAAGTTACATAGCTTACTAGTCTTAACACTGTCTGATTTACATGTGATTTATAGGCTCAAAACTTAGCTGTATAAATTAGCAGCTACAGTTCTATTTTTTTATTTCTAGCCTATCATGCAAAGTGCATTGACCCATGGTTGACGAAGAATCGTCGTGTGTGTCCTGTATGCAAACGAAAAGTGTTTACGGGGGACGAGAGGCCCTCCGATCTGGAAACAGACTCGGAGGATGAGAATAGCCCTTTGATCAACTCTGAAGGTGGCACACAAGGGGGCACATTCGACAGTCAGAGGGTATGTTAAAAGTTTTTATTCTGTATTGTTTTACGTTATCAAATGAGTGTAGTTCTTAACTGAAGGTAAGTAGGATCTTGCGTTGGGAGCAATCAAGTTTAATTAAAAAAACCAGCATTGAATATAATGAAACTGCAATTTCTGGGCGAGTCCTGGTGGCTCCCTGAAGCTATCTTACAGAGATGACTCCCAACTACTAGGCCACATCAGCTATAAAGTTCTTAGGCCTTCCAGGGGGCAGACAGAACCTGGCCCCCCTTTAAGAAGAGCAGGGAGAAGATGACACTCACCTTACCGGGGAAGGGATCCAGAAAGTAAGAAAACCTAAACAGCCAAAGCCGGATACAAAAAGAACCCGCCCTCAGACCAGGTTCATTCTATCCAGCAGTCGACCTCAAAGATGCATTCATTAATTTTAACATGCTCTTCATTTTCCTGTGTTAAGCATTTTAACATGCTTAACTTGCAAATTCAAAATAAGCATTTTCTCAAATATAGATTAATGTTATATATTAGCATTCAACCCTGTCTTATGGGGATTTGTTCTTCCAATGGGATTCTTCTTTCTGATGAGGTTAGAGCTTACCATGCAGTTACTGCTTTGCTTATTTGTTTTGCTAGGTTGCAGTGGTCTAGGTATTGAACCTGGGGACATATCGGTTATATCCGGGTTGGATGCCGCCACAGCTGACCTATTTGGTGTTTTGAGACCTGGAATTGGAGATGTTAGTGAATTCCATCTTGGTTCCATCTACACCACTTCTTCCTTTATCTTAGGGCATGGTTCGTCATGTTTCTGATCCTCCCTCCCCACCCATTCCCTGCTTCCAGCCCCAAAACATCTGAGGGTTTCCAGGTAGGGGCAGGGTTTTAGTTCGGGATGTGGCTCGGCCAGCTTCAGGGGTTGCCTCTTCTAAATCAGACATGGAGGTAGTTGAGACGGTTGTTCCATCGAGGCTTCTTCATTTTCCAAACTGCCAACCCCTCCTTCCTTTTGAAGTCCTTTCCTTTTGAAGTCCTTTCCTTTTGAAGCCCTTTCCTTTCCAGCACCCTTTCAGGCCTTTGTCCTTGTGTGGGCAGCCATATGCCACTGTTTTTGTGGAGGGCAGCCTTGGGCTCGTTCCCTTGTTACGTCAGCCTTTTGCCCATGCCCAGTATTCCACCTTCCTGTGGTGGCTGCTCCTATGGGTCATAGGAGCAGCCTATAATGTAGTTTGCTTAGTTATGCCTCATTCCAGTGGCATAGCTTTGTGCTGTACTGCCTTCTTGGTTTGCTTGGGAGAGGTATCTTCTGCTTTTTGCTCGTTCCACAGCTCCTATTGTCCTCTTTTGTCTGTATCGACTTTTCAGGATTTTGCTCCAGCTGTCTCTCTCTCATGGTTGGTGGTTTGACCCATCTAGAATAGTTTTTTCAGGGGTATCTGATTGTGTTGACCATTTGTATAGTAACACACACAGTGGTAGATCTAGATACCTCCCTAGATTTGTAATTAATGTGGCCTGGACTTACATTTTTTAGTTAATTTAAGATTAATTTGTATGTTTTAAGGTAATAATCTTTAGCTATTATATATATATGTAATAATATTACAGTACTGTATAATATATTTGTAAACAATTTCTTATTAATTAGCATCCGGTTAACCAGTGCACTCTGTTGTTCAGGAAAATCCTTTCCAAGAAGCCCAACGACTAGCAGACGAACGCAGGAGAAGGCGTAGGCTTAGAAGAAATGTGTCCCACAATGTGGAATGTGGACCGGAAGGCTATCAACGTTTGGCCGAGTCCACAGATGACGAGGAGGGGGAGGGGGAGGAGGGTGAGGATGAAGAGGAACAAAGAGAAGAAGAAAAAAATGAAGTCTCTGGTAAAGATTAAACTGATGGTCAAGTGCATAACTTAGAAATCTGTGCATCTTTCACTATTTATACTGTGTATGTGTATGCACTGTGTATAGTGTGTGCATCTGCACTGTGTATACTGTGTATATCTGCACCATGTATACTGGATCATCTGTGCTGTGTTTATACTGTGTGCACCATATGTAATGTGTTATATCTACACTGCATATACTGTGTACATCTACACTGCATGTACTGTGTGTGTCTGCACCGCATATACCACGTGCATCTGTACCGCATATACTGCACGCAGATGCACATACAGATTGGTAAACTATTCATGAACTGTTGTTTTTCATGCCTGTCTTGTCTCCAAATTCTCTTTGCAAGGGATGTCAAAGAAACTGTTTCCAGTTATACTGTGTTTGATTGTATATAACCTATGTTCACTATAATGATTATATATAATCCCGTGCAGTCCGGAGTATATATGATCATATAAACGTAAAATTTTATCATGCTTTGGATTTCTACCAAACACACAAGAAATATAATGTACATAGTTCAATTAGTTTTGTATGATAAAGTTATTCACATGTTTTGTCTTTCAAGTAAGCCTGCCTGTCTGCCTATAGGCTTGACACTCAACTTGCACAGGATCTCATTCGCTGCTAATGAACTGCTTTGTAGAGGATTGAAATGGCTACATGCTACATGCGATAATGTATGTTTTAGGGCTATAATTTTTTTGACAGGAAACAGCGCCCAGGTTGTAAGTGGTAGCCCGGAACACGCAGTCTGTGAGGGGGAGGTTAATTCTCCCCAGTCGTCACAAGAGCCGCCAGCTACAGTTTGTGTCATTGTTCACGACTCTCCCAGACCTATCAGCATTAGAGGCAAGTTGTAATGTACTGTGTGTGTGTGTGGTGTGTATATATATATATAATATATATATATATATATATATATATGTATATATATATATATTGAATGTTCATAGATTCCTTGTCTGCAAAGAAAAACACTAGTACAAATATAGAAGATGCATGGAATATTTTGTTTAAACACGTAGACTCCCATTTTGCTTTCTGAGTAACAGCTGAACAAATTGGTTTTACATGAGAATGCATAGAGTAAGTTGTCAGTACCAAGGATAGAAATAAATTTAATATCTTTGCCATTTTTTTTTACCACAGTTCATCCCAAAACACTGCCTCAATACTTTTTTTCTGAATTATTATTATTTGTTTAATTATTTAAAGACAAATGTTGGTAGTGTAATCAATATATTTCTTAGTTCCATACACAATGAAATCACAATAATGTGATAAGTCTTTGAGTAAATCCTTGGATTGAGACAGCAGGATCGAACCAGCATTATTGCTTAATTGTTTTGATAGCGTAGACTGTAGAACATCCACTCTACACAGCATTTACTGTACTGTACATGGCACATTTGTATACTAGGTTGTGTACCCAAATTCCTAGATATGACCTAAATGTAAACTAAAAGAATTTGGTAATTAGATGCTCAAATATTTACCAGTAATCGGGGAAAAGCTCTGAACCACATGTGGGTTCAGGCGGGAAAACGACTCGGTATTATAACCTGCATCCCTTTTTCTTTAGATTCAAGCAGCTTGTCGAGGAATAGCAGCTTATCCTCCCACGGCACCCCTCCTGGTCCTGTACAAATTGCTGTTGATGTTGTCAACTCCCCAGCGTCTGGCTCCTCACTAGTGCCACAACCTTCTCAGTCATATGGAGATGCAGGATCTGAACGCGATTATGTTGTGTGAACGAAAAAGATTTACTTTGATGTCTATTTGGTAGTATTTTTGTTTATGGTAACTTTTATGTTTGCTTGAGAACATTTGTAACCAATAAGTTGCTTGAGTAATCTACATCACATACAACTAGGTACACTTTACTGTAGTTATTTTTATTATGACTTAATTGCAGAAATACATTGCTACTTGAAGAAGAAGCTACATATTTAAACTTAGGTTTCTTTGTAAAGATATTTTTATACTGTATATATAATGTAAATTATTATTAAGTGACTTACTGAAGTTGTGCTAAAAATTTGTTTTTGCCCTAATGTGGGTATAGCATATAAGTATTATGATAACCAAAGTAATATGCAGTTAAACAAAATTGGAGAACAAAATTTACATTAGACAATTTAGTTAAATAGGAACCAAAATTACAAGCAAATTTGCAAAAAAAGTCATTAATCCTTGCAAAGTTACGTTCGTTTTCACCTTGAATGTTGTTGTTTTCCAGATAAGCATTATGATGCTCACTGTGTGCCCCACCAAGACTACAGTGGCTGTGAGCATTTTAGTGCTTAAATCTCTTGACTTCCCCCCCATGACATCAACTTCAGTTCTCTGCATGTCAATATTCTTGTTACCTGTTGGTTATGAGGTCAGTAGTTCCTACCTCATTAACACACGCATGCAAACGCCATTTGTTTTTGTTTTTTAAATTGTAATATCCTTGATTAGATGCTACAAGTTAGACGTCTTCTAAACTTAATATGCCACATACATGTTGGCGATGAGTGATCACTAACATGTAATCACTGATCACATGATGATTAGTCAGTGTTGGGGATCATCATGTGTAACTTTTGTACAGTATTCTTTGGATTATATATATGAGGAGTTACGTTAAGACATAAATCTAGTGCCTAAACCACTGTTTTGTATCGTCTTTAAAAAATAGTCTTGCTTAATTGATCTAACAGACTACCAAAGTTGAAATTGAAATGCTTGTACAAATAACATGTTGTACATTATTATGCAGTACAGTACTGAAGATCATTTTAAACCACATTTCTTGTTACTGTACTGTCGGTCTTCCTAAACCTTACTTTCACAGTATATTCTACATTTGGTTGTGCCAGTTGTTGATCACGAAGTTTCAGCATTAAGAGTGAATATTATAGAAGGTATTTCATAACAGAGAGCGAGGGGAGTTGAAACTGTCCAAAAAAAAAAAAGAACGAGACATAAGTTTTTAAATGTTATTAATCTCCAGACTGCACAGAATGTTATGAAGTGCTGTTATGCTTCTTTATAGTGTTTATTATATACATGAATATATATTTTCTTTGCTGCGGCTTTATTAATTACACACATGTATTTTTAGTTGATAGAACAAGGGCCTAATGATTGGTAATGCATTTGTTGTCTCAAGAGTTTTAAGGTTTGCTCCTAGATATATATTTATATAGCAGTTGTGATTTCCAAAATATACTTGAGCTGTCGAATTATTGTATTCAAAGCAAAAGGCTGATACGCTAATACTTGAACAAATGTTTAAAATATAAACTAATTATGTGACCGTCTCTCATGCCCGCAGATGATACTTAACCTGCATTATAATAAGAACCCGCTCATTTATAGATTAATATATTTGACACCAAATATCCAGTCAGTATGCATACTCTTCCTGATTTCCTTATTCCCATTGTCACATGCGGTGTGTGGTGCTGGTTCCCCACACTCCCTGGTGTAAGACAGTGTTTATTTTCTTAACCTTTTGTCAGCATTGTCTGTTTCTATATATTAATTGGTTTAAGAAGCAAAAATAGGTTGTATACCTAAAGTGATTTTATTGCAATACAAGACGCAGTACTTTGCTTTTCTTTAACTTGGTGCACTGTACTCAAAAAAAAAAATACAATAATGTAATTACTCCTAAGTAGAGTTTGAGAGATGTGTTGATATATTAGAGTGCATATTTTTTAGGGAACATCACCTACAGTTGTAAATTTGAAGGGGTGACTTTTTTTTCCTAGTGATGGTTAACTAGAGAGTTTTTGTATGTATAGTATATGTCTGTGTTTGGAAACTAGATATTAGCAACAAATGATAGTAATATATATGTGTACTGCTTGGTGTAAGTAGATTATTACGTAAAGTAGGAAACTAATATTTTAAATTATACTGGTAATTCCGAATTTTTAAGATCATGACATTGTAAGTTGTTTAGCAATGAACTTTTATATTCTTTGTCATTGGAGATTAATTTCCATCAAATGTTACTTGATATATTAGCAGGTTGTCATTTGGGATGCTGGGGCACAAATGGAAGATGTGTGTGTGTGTGTCTGTGTATATTCATATAATGGATTGTTATTTTTCCATTATGTAATTTCTAACCTGTAGGCTTTTTGAGGTTGTCAAAGAATCCATTGACAACTGATGAAAGTGTTTAAGGATTAATCAAGTTTGATGCTTTTATAAAGAATGCAATGGTTCATATATATCGTGTCCTTTGTGATATGTATAATATGATACTTATAAGATAATCCCACATATGGGTGTTGTATAGCCTGAATATCAATATATGCTCTTATACTACATATTTATTTATTAACCTGAAAGAGCCATAACTAGCAGTATAGATAGTATTACTTGCTATACTTGGCTCTAGACAAGATGAGCACCTATTTGTGCTTTGCTGACCTACATGAAACTTTTGACACTGTATTACTATTGAATCTGGTCGCTTGACACCGTCTACTCTTAATTCAGTGAGAGATAAATGGCCCTATACTCTATTGTATTCATCAATGATGTCCCAAAACCTCCAAATGCATTGAGCTAATAGTCTTCCATTTACAAAGGACTTGACTTTCATTTTCTTACAAATAAGGATGCATAAAATATGTATCTTTAGAAAGAGTCAAAAAAAGGTTTAAAGAAAGTGAATGCAGATGACTAGGCATAAGGATATGATAGCCAAATATCCCCAGTTTGCAAACTGTAGGTAGTAACTAAGTAATTGTAACCTATCCACCGCTGCCCACTGGATGGGGGGGGGGGCCCGTGTGCAGGATAAACATGTCAATTATGACACTAGAAAGTAAGCAAGTAATTATCAAAAGAAGGCACCAAACCGGGAAGGCTATGTAGCACACTTATGACACTAGCTCTCCACATATATCATTTGCTCAATTTAGAATCTGCACTTGTGGTCGATCTCGAACCTATTGATGATGTGACGACTTATACTGAATTTTGTAACTTGCTTAGCTAAATGAACTGTGGGGTTCAGTCCCTGAGCCCATTATGGGCCTCTGTAACCCTTTCCATTACTGCCCACAAGATGGGTATGGGGTGCATAATAAATGAACTGAACTAAAATTGACTTAAGATATTGCTTATTAATGACAAATTGAGTGATTTTAACTTATTGAAGTGTGAACATTTATGCTTTATAGTAGCTATTAACGTCCAGGATAATTGTTCAGAATATTATTCTGCACAAGTGGCGTCCTCGACGATCATTTCTTGACGCCAAATGGATCCTCGGCGCTCCTCTAGTCTTCAAAACAAGACCGTCACCTTCCTCGCTCTTCCTGTCTTCGTCTCCCCAAGGTACTCCTCGAGCGCCTGGAGTATACATCTCATGACGAGACTTACAGTATGTCAGGCGGTTCCCAGCTCCAACCTCTTCAGTTCTACCTATTAGATCTGTATGTTTACCTTGTTATTTATAAGCTTATAACCGTCTTATTGTAACCTCCACCTCAGACAGTAATGAAGGCAACTAAGACAGTCTCAGGGTACTGTCTCAGACCCTGTTGGAATATAACCAGTCTGTCAATCGGGTCAACTCAAGTGTTGCGTTTCCATGCGTTTCCAAAAGGGTCGCCCATGTTGGAATCGGTGAACGCCCTAGTAATAGTGTTGAAAACATCTTAATAACTTATTAAACCAAAGGTCTTTTTATGTCAGAAGAACGGCAGAAACTAGATCTATATATGAAAACTTTCAGGACAAAATTTAAAGTAAAACTAGATTATGTAAAACTAGATTAAAGTAAATTTATGTTTCTATCTTTCTTGAGACGTATAAAAATCTTACGTTTATTAACGATTCTGCGTGAAATAAGCATTGTTCTGAGATGAATATTGCGGATTTCCGGCTCTACGACCGATGAAAAATGCAACTTTTATACAACTACAAATATCTTTAGTTTTACTTTAAATTTTGTCCTGAAAGAGTTTTCATATACAGATCTAGTTTCTGCCGTTCTTCTGACATAAAAAGACCTTTGGTTTAATAAGTTATTAAGATGTTTTCAACAATATTACTAGGGCGTTCACCGATTCCAACATGGGCGACCCTTTTGGAAACGCATGGAAACGCAACACTTGGGTTGACCCGATTGACAGACTGGTTATATTCCAACAGGGTCTGATATATTTACACTGGCGGGCGGCGTTCTTGCCAACTATATGGCTGTTAAGTTGAAAATTGTAACTGTTAAGAGCATTCTATTGTGGTTTTAATATTGAACAATTATACATATACGAAACAGACAAATCTGGTGTCCGAAATAGTAAAAATATTAGTGTGCGATGTGATCAATGTAAGGGGGATATTGGGTGTGCCTCGTATCCCCTACAACAACAAGAAGTTCGAGAGCGATGAGGCCGCCACCTACTAGCTTCAGGATGTCGTCGAATCTAAATCAACAATATACTACCGCCGCTACTTTCTCGGAAACGTAAGTACCTGCCGCTTTACTTCTCTCACCCTGCCTAGCCTGGCCTGGCCTGACCTGGCCTAGCCAGACCTGACCAGACCTGATCTGGCCTAGCCTTACCTAGCCTAGTCTGACCTGGCATAGTCTGACCTGACCTGGCCTAGCCTTACCCAACACTAATCACCAAACGTGACAGCCCAAACGAATCGCAAATAAGTACACGTAACAAGTCATATGCTCGGACACTCTTTCACCTTGGGGACTGATTGGTAACTATTGTATAGAAGAGCCGGCTCCCTGAGAGTGGTAAGAGGGCGTGATAAGAGGCTAACGTGTGGTCTTGAAGGAAGTCGATAAAGCAGACAATTTTCAAAAGGAAGGGCAGCATAACGAGCAGACAGGAATGGACAGACAGTCGGTTATCCCATAATGTGTAATACGCCCCGCACAGCATGGGTGGAGTGGGGGGGGGGGGGTTGTAGCAGGGCACAGTATGGTGATGGTGCGGGTGAAGTACACACTCACTGAATTCCTGCCATCAATAATTGTTTTCATAACCATTAGAACAATGGCATCCCTCCAGCCACCATCCTTCCACTGACTCCCTCCTCTGGTCCTCCATCTCAGACAATAACCCCCCACACCCCCTCTCCCTTCCAGACATCAGCATGTCAAAATCAGTACTGTAATGTGTTTAAACTATTTAAACTAAGTCATTGTGTATCTCAAGATATCTTAATTCATTTGAAAGTGTACATGTGCATTCGTTCATATACTCGCCTAATTGTGCTTGCTGGGGTTGAGCTCTGGCTCTTTAGTTCCACCTCTCAACCGTCAATCAACAGGTGTACAGGTTTCTGAGCCTATTGGGCTCTATCATATCTACACTTGAACCTGTGTATGGAGTCAGCCTCCACCACATCACTTACTAATGCATTCCATTAGATATAATCATATATGATTACACATAATCATAATCATTCCATACACATAATCATATATGTGTACGTCAACGTATACATACATGCGTATATATACCTCATATTAAAATACTGATAAACGAATGACCATGAACAAATTAATTTATAATTGTAGCATTATATATAATTTTAATAGACTAATTACGTGTTTATACATTTGAATGGTCCAGACAGGTGGCCAGCCTTGGACATATACACTTCTGGTAGGCACAATGACCTCATGTTAGACCCTTGATAGATTATGTGAGAGAGAGAGAGAGAGCTGGGGCAGGGAGGTGTGTGCCCCAGGGAGATAATCCATGCCCATGCCCCGCCTCGAGGTCAGTTCTCGAGTCACACCAAGAATAACAATCGAGCAAGTTGTCCTGACCAGGATGTGGCATATTAGGGAGGGTTGAGGAATAGGAAGCCTGTCTGATAGGGCTCTTGGCAAGCAGCTCTCCCTCAGTCTACCTATCTATATGGAAGAAATGTATCTAGGCCCTCCTCCCCCCTGCCTATTCTCTCTCTCCCACCTTTCTTCCTTCATTTCCTCCCTCCTTCCCTCCCCCTCACTGGTGAGAGAGTAGGAGTGTGAGAGTGGTTAGAGAACTCGTAGTTCTCACGCTCGTGAAATTGTCTGCGACCCTGGAGGAGTAGAGCGGAGGGGGGGGGGGTGAAAGTAGGTGACGATGGAGGAGTAGCGGGGAGCATTATATGCAGTGAACGTAGGTGTCTATGGAAGAGTACATCATAGAGGAGGGTGAAAGGAAGGTGACGATGGAGGAGGAGAAGGGAGGGGGTGTGAAGGTAGGTGATGATGGAGGAGTAGAGGGGAGGAGGGGGGCAAAGGTAGGTGTCTATGGAAGAGTACATCATAGAGGGGGGTGAAGGTAGGTGGCGATGGAGTAGAGCAAAAGGGGTGGGGGTTGAAAGTAATCCTGAGTTTAATTTTTTAGTTATATATAGTGACACCTCGGCTTACGAATGAATATTTATGAACTTTTCGGGTTACGAGCCTAATTTCTTCGAAAAATTTGAATCGGGTTACAAACTTTGCCTCGGGAAAGGAGTTTGTTGATATACGTATGGGCTGACCTAGCGCGTGGTGGCATGGTGATCGCGCCTCAGTTTACCAGTGTCTCCTGCCTAGTAAGTATCGCGCCTGAATTCTTTGTAAAGCATTACATTTGTTTTGGGATTTTTGGCTATTTGAACATAAAATTTGTTATGATATATCTTGCCATGAGTCCCAAGAAAGCCAGTGGTAAGGTTCAAGCCAAGAAAACACATGTGAGAATGACCATAGAGGAAAAACAAGAGAGCATTCATAAACATCAAAATGGTGCACAGGTTGTTGAACTAGCTAGGCAGTACAACAAATCTATGTCAACAATATGCACTATACTTGCTAAGAAAAAGGACATTATGAGCATTAAAGTGGCAAAAGGCATATCAACAATCCCGAAACAAAGAACACAAACACTTGAGGATGTTAAAAAGTTTTTATTAATTTGGATACACAATAAGGAGTTAGCAGGTGATAGCATTTCAGAGGCCATCATTTGTGAGAAACCAAGGCATTTGCATGAAGACCTTTTAAAGAAAACCCCTGGAACGAGGGGGGGGGGGAAAAGATGAATCAAGTTTGAAAATGTGAAAAGTTTGTGTGACAATAGAGCCTCGTGGAAAACTTTTGCTGTGGTCATTACCTGGTGGAATGCACCCAGGATGGAGTATTAGGGTTATACATCTTTTAAATCATAAAAGTAATAAACATTTCCCATCAACCTTACAAACCATATTAACCTATTTTCATGTATTTCCCCCATGTGCATTTTAACAAAGTTACTAAATTGCCTTTATCATTCTGTAAAATTTCAATTACAGTATACTGTATATAATTT